TTGTCCTGTAGTGGCCTTAAAAGTGAGTGGAGGAGGCCTGAGCCTTAGAATCAGACAGCAAGTTAAACGGGCTGCTCTGCTGGCCTTGAAGGTAGACGTGGCCACGAGCCGAGGCATATAGGAGGCCTCTAGAAGCTGGAAAAGGCCAGGAGATGATTCTCCCCTGGAAAGAATGCAGCCCCACCAATTCTGGGTTTAAACCCCGGAGGAGGACCAACTGCATAACGAAGCAGTTCAGTTCTGTGGGGGGATCCACATGGCTGACTGCAATTTGAATCCTAGTCCAGTGGCTTGAAGAACATGCTGGGCACATGTGGATACATGCTCAGAATCCTGAGGGGAAGGAGGGATGGAGGAAAAAGGATTGCAGGTGACCACGTCCATGGGAGAACATTTTCTCTTTCTGCACATGAATGCACCCTCTGATATAAAGATAAAATAGTAAAATAAAACCCAGGAACCTCTATCCCTGGACTTCTAACCTCCAGAATTATACGATACTAAATCTGTGTATTTTGTTTTGTTTTGTTTTTCAGTTTTCCAGAAGGCACATGCACTGGCCAGAGAGAGACACAGAGTGAGAAAAGGAAAGTGAAAAAGCACCCTCCATGGGGCATGGTCACGCCACAATCCCTTCTCTTCCACTTCTCCCTCCTTTTGGAATTTTGGGCAAGCATGCACATGTAATCGACGTGTTTTTCAAGCCACTGGGTCCAGGACTTGAACTGCATGGTCCGTCATATGGGATGTGGGTTAAGGATCAGGCTGCCCTAACCACCATATCTCCAGCTGGCTCAAATCTGTGTTGTCTTAAGCCAGTCAATGTGTGGTCGTTTGTTTTAGCAGCAATAGGAACTAGTGTCCTCCTCAATGTCCTTCTGTTCTATTTCTCCTTCCGGATTTCCATCATAAAGCTTTTTCCCTCTTGGCCCTATTGAAAACTGAAAGTCCCCTAGGTAATCCTTAAGGGAGCCCTGACAGTTCCATTAGAGGCATTTGTTCATTTTAAAGCATTTACACTCTTTGCACCAGCGATGTCAGAAGAACATAGATCCACAGAACCTCTCGAGATCCCACAGAAGCTCTGTTCTCTCGGGAGCCATGCATCCAGTCCTCTGTACAAGATATCTTTATGGGAGGCTGCTAGGTTCCAGTCCCTGTGTGCACATGGGACATGAGGATTCAGGGGACAATCCAAGCTTTTTCCTTTTTTTTTCAGTTTTTGTTATAGGGCACATGTGCTCACCAGAGACAGAGTGAGAGAAAGAAAAAGAGAGAAGGTGAGAAATCATCTCTCAAGGGGCTTGCCATGCTACAATCTCCTCTTCTGTCTCCTCTTGGGATTTTCGACATGCACACACATGTACGCAGTGTGGTTTTTAAGCCACCAGGTCTGGGACTCAAACTGTGAAGCTGGCCATGTCGGATCCAGAGCCTTAAGCACCACACTACCCGGTTGGTCCACACACAGAGCATTTACCATTTTTACAGTTCAGGAACAACTTGCTTACATTTTTTTCCCCCTGTGAGTGTCCTAAGATTTTTTTTTTTCCCCCCAGGAGGCAGCTGGGTACACAGAGCCTCTTTGGCTAAGTAGAAAAGGACAGGAACTACGCCCTGGTTCCCTTGGTCTTCCAGTTTGTGTTCAGACCCAGGCAAGAGTTAAAGAGCCGACGATGGAAAAGCACAGATGATAAGCACTGAGACCTGCCCCTTAGCTTGGGGGGTGGGGGGGGGATGCTATCTCTCTTCTCTCCAGCCCTGCTTCCCGCCGTTGACGCAGGGAGCTAAGGGTCTGAATGAAACCTGTTGGAGGTTCCAATTAAAGCTCTGTGGACAAAGGGCACACACACAGCCTCCTCGGATAACAGGTGGCCATCAATCCAGCCGCACATCCACTTCAGAGAGCAGGGTCCTCGCTGTCCTGCTCACAGCTGCCAATACTTTCCTGGACGTCTCGCGCCATGACGGGCTCTAAGGTAAGATTTTTCTCTTTCTGGACAAAATGAAGCGTTCCTGATGATTGACGTCTCTCATCAGAGGGTGTTGACTGCCGATTTGTTTCAGAGTCCTCAGTTTGTTATTGTTTGAGGGTTTCTGTTTTCATTTCAATTGTTTGTTTTGTCTCTCCTTGTGCTGCGTCATTTGTTTTACATCTTTTCGTTTTTCCTTGCTTTTAATTTCTTCTTATTTTCCTCCTTCTGTGTCCTAAGTACATCCATAAATGGAAATGGCTTATTTAGTCAGAGAAATGAAGAGTCTTAAATAACTGCATGCCTCATCGGGTTCAAACTTAGCTGAGATTTTGGTTTCCTTGGGACCTTGGTCACTTAGACCTGTAACAGGAGGATGTCCATCTTCAGCCTGGGCTTCAAAAAGAATAAGCCAATGCTTGGGATACTTCCAATGGAGGCTGACTATAGGACCCATGGGTAATAATTGAAAACTATTAACTGCTTATATAATGAAAGAAATTTATTATAGAACATTTGGAAGTTACAAAACAGAAAAAAAGATCATTTAAGTCATTGTTTATGAATAGCGAGCATTTGGGTTTCTTTCCTTCTTTCTTCCTTTCTTTCCTTTTTTTTTTTTTTTAGAGATTTTTGCTATAGGGTGCATGTGCTTGTCTGAGACAGCGAGAGAGACAGAGGGACAGAAAGCGAGAAATCACCTCCTGGGGGGATGGCCATACCACAATCCCTTCTCCTCCACTCTCCTCTCAGGATTTTGGGCACATATGCATGCACATGCGCTGGCATGAGTTTTAAGCCACCAGGTCCAGGACTTAAACCACAGACGACTACGTAGGAGTCCAGTACGCTATCTGCTGGTCCCTGGGTATCTTTCTACTATCTTAGAAATATGCACATACAAGACTGAATAGTGGCACAGTGATAATGCGAGGTACCACACGGCAGTTGTCTGGGTTTCAGTCTGGAGAGCTCCTTGAATATGTCATGGCCTGGGGGTGGCTGAAGACTAGGATCATGGTAGACCATGGAGTCAGGACCCTGTTCGGGTTCTAATTTTCTCTCTCTCTCTCTCTCTCTCATTCACAGAAGGAATAAATAAACTAGGAAAAAATGTGTATGTATATTTATTTTTTACATACTGGAGGTCAAGCTGTAAATTCAGTTTAATGTCCTTTTCTAACTTACATCAAATTAAGAGTACTTCCTAAGCCATTGAAATGATTTGAAAACCTGATTTTAAGAGCTGTTTAATATCCTACTATTCAAATGTTCCATTTTTTTTCCACTAGTGAAAATAACTTAGCAATGAACTTTGAACATAAATCTTTGACTGCACTTCGATCATTTCCTTAGGATACATTCCCTGACTTAGGAAATTAAAGGGTGTAAAAAGTTTAGAACCTGATACACATTATGACAGCAGACTACATTATATTCGAGGCTAAATGATTGCTATTGTTGATCCCACAACAGAAGCCACATAAAAGAAAGGAGATTCTTCCCAGACGCTGTCATGACCTGCAGCTTGACAAGGGACTATGACCTGCTGCTGACAGGGGAGGCGCCATGCTAAGCAGAAATCTAATCACAAAAGTTAGTGTTTTACCTACACAGAATAACGGACCTCTCCTAGCTTACACAGAGGGATAAGAGCAGACCAGACTGAGGGAACATGGTGGAGTATGTAAGCCTTTAGGCTAGAAAGCTTGGGATTGCTTCTTGCTGGACAGTAATTGTGTGACAAGACAAATTGCCGACCCTGAGTCTCAGATGTCTCATCTGTAGGATGAATGGGTTAGTGCAGACCCATGTTTCTCAGTCAGCCTGAGAGACACATGAGCACATGAGATGGTTTTGTTTTGCTTTGTTTTTAAAAAGATCACCAGAGGGTGTGTATGTATGTGTGTGTGTGTGTGTGTGAGAGAGAGAGAGAGAGAGAGAGAGAGAGAGAGAGAGAGAGAGAGAGAGAAAAAAAACTCAACAGTGAGGTGTGGTCATGCTGCAATCCCTCTTCTCCATCTCTGGCTATCCATCAGGACCTCGGACACACATGCCCATGTACCTGGTGCGTTTCTCAAGCCATGGGGGCCAGGATTCAGCTGTGGTCAGCCACAAGGGCTCTGGCTCCCCACACAGCACTTATCCAGTGTGCTACAGGACTGGCCTGCGATGTCTTTCTTTCTTTCTTTTTTTAAAATTTTATTTCTTTCACGAGAGAGAAAGAGAAAGAAAGAGAGGGGAAAACAACCAACCCCCTTTCCGATAGGGTCTTTATATTGTGCTCTATTTCCAGCCTAGCCAACAAGGCTCACAGGCATACGTACATACGTCGGGTGCACACAGGGAGGCCCTAGGACACAAACCCAGGACTTTTCCACATGGTGCAGCCCCACAGAGCACTGTGCTACCCCTATGCTACTGGCTGCACATAAAATACAGACCATAACGTTAGGGTGGAACGTAGACATACACTGTACTCTTTTGTATGACATATAAAGTTTCTCTTTACAACAGTATTTCTTAGTATAAGTTAATATACTTAAGAAAAGAAGACTTAGAGGGAAATACGCAGTAAAGAGCAATAGCAGCATAGGAAGTCCTTAGATATGACACGAACCATCAAGGTGTTGGCAAATGCCTGACGTTTGAGAAACCCGGGCCAGGTGAGCTGTGCAGTCTTTCATGGGCAGGTGTAACTCCAGGTCAGAAGAACCGGTGAGCAGCACTTACCTGGAGGCCATGCAGGGAACCAGACGGTGTTGGTGAGACGTGTGAGAAATGGACAGAGATGGGCCAAGAGCTAGCATGGTGGTTGAAGTGCTGCACTCCTACGTGACTGACCGCAGTATGCATTCCAACCCTTTCTCACTTTCCTCCTCTCTGGTCAAATAAAAGATAATAGTAAGAACAAATAAAATTAAATTAATATTTAAAAAAGGAAAAGAAACGGACAGCGATACAGGAAGTCTCCACCCACTGCCTGTTACTGGCATCCTTTGCATTTTCCATCTTAACAGTGAGTTTCATTCGTCTGGTGGACTCCCCATCTCCTGTGGAGGCTGCAGACCCATTGCTGTCACAGGACCCTGGCCTGGTGTCTGGAGGAGAAGACGCCCAGCGCAGCCCTCAGCATGCTCCGGGCGCTTCTAGAAGCTCCCCAGCAGCTGCTGAAGGAGGGCAGAGAGTCGCGGCGGCTGGTGCTGGGGGTGGTGTTCGTGGCTCTGCTCCTGGACAACATGCTGCTCACCGTGGTGGGTACGTGTGGGGGCCCCACGCTGCTCCTCACTGGCTTGGGATCCAGCAAATAGCTCTGCTCTCCATTTCAGCACTGAGCGGATTTGAGAATTTGTGTGTGTGTGCTTGAAAGCACCCAGAGGTAGCTGGGGATCAGAGGCAACTGCAGGACATGGAATCTGACGCTTGCCTGCCATTGCTCAAAGGCCCCAGAGGCTCAAAGAAAGGGAAGCTGAGAGGGCCTTGACCACAGGGGAGGGTCCCTGGGCCACACCAGCCTTACTTTCTCTTCCTCACTGTCTGCCCAGGTGCTCAGGTGGCCTGGGCCCCAGCGAGTGCCCCCTGCAGAGTCGCCTCTAGCTCTGCTCTGGAAAAGCACCTCCTTTCTTAGGGATCTAGCTCTTTCTCAAGACCTGCCTTCCTTGGGGTTCATTCCTCCAGAACCCTGCCTTGTCTGGTCGATGCTCTACCAGTTTCCCCGTTAAGTAATGCCTGTGTAGAAAGGGGGCTTAAGTGTTCTCCTTCCTCTGTAAAATAGTTGCTTTTAAATAAGAAGCTCCTTGAGACAAGTTGTTAATCCAGTCTAGTCTATTCTTATTATTCACGTGTTATAGTTACGGTCAGGTCCTGTACAAGGGTGCTGCAAACGCTCAACTAGCGAGTACGGATTCATTACTCGTAGGGCAAACATACCCACACACATACACACACGATCAAATCTGATAATCTCACATTCTACAAACAGCTACACTGGTAGGTCCACTCTTCACAGAAGAGAAAAAGAAGTTCGAGGTGTTAAATGACTAGCCAGAGGCTCCCTGCCCACTGGTGCTAGACTTGGGGTCCAGTGTGGGTCTGAGGGCCCAGGGGGGAGCTCATGGCACTCCCGCCCACCCCCTGTCCCTGCCTCTCCATCCTCTGTCTATGTGACAGCTGGAGGAGGGCGGGACTGCCCTATTCCACCTCAGCGAGAGTGTCCACACTGGGTGACTCAGATTTTCAGCACTCTGTGCTCGTCTACAAAAATCATGGCAGCCCCTCGAGGTTTTTTTGTTTGTTTTTTAAGTTCATTCATTTCTGAGAGAGAAGAGAGAGAGAGAGACAGAGAGAGAGAGAGAGAGAGAGAGAGAGAGAGAGAGAGAGAGAGAGACATCCCCAGTAGACCCAGATCATGCCTATCATGCTGAGGGAGGTCCCAGGGCACGACATGAATCCAGGACCTTCCCCATGAGAATTTGGTGACATTACTGTTTCACCACCTGGTGCCTCCATGAGGATTGGTTTGAGGTTAAATCCTAGTGAGTAGAAGAGTTAGCCCATAAAAGGCATGAACAATGAGGCCTACCCGGATGGTGGCTGAAAGGCAGGCACTCTAGCCAGTAAGATGATTTGGGCTGGCACAGCGATTCTGCTGAATCTTAAATCGGAAGTCATCATAGTGCCCTGAACCTAGCAGTGGTGAAAGGATGCCTGTCCCCAGCCTGGTCACTTGTCCTTGGCTTCCAGTGCCGATTGTGCCCACCTTCCTGTATGCCACGGAATTCCAAGACGCCAACTCCTCTCTGCACGCCAGCGCTGCCCTGCGTCCCCAGCACACCCTCACCTCTGCCGCCTTCTCCACCGTCTTCTCCTTCTTTGACAACAGCACCATAGCTGTTGAAGAAAGTGCACCCAATGGCACAGCGTGGACAGGAGGCCCTGCTGCCACCCCCACTCCAGTCACTGAAGCCATCTCTGCACGGCAGAACAATTGCTTACAAGGCACAGAGTTCCTGGAGGAAGAGAACGCTCGGGTCGGGATTCTGTTTGCTTCAAAGGCTTTGATGCAGCTTTTGGTCAACCCATTCGTGGGACCTCTCACCAACAGGTACGCCCTTGGTGCAGGGGTCCAGCGAGCATGCAGGGGCTCAGGAATAGCAGAGGGGCTGAGGCATCACAAAGGGAGAGCGAGGGGAAAAAGAAGGAATAGTCACTGGCTGGTTCCGGAAAGCTGTTTAGAAAGCTGGTTATCCCAAGGATGTTACTAATTATCAGTGGCTGCAGATTTTCACAGTGATGTAATAAACATTGAGTAAAGAAGAGACCCAGTGGGCCCCGCCATGGTGGTGCAGGTGGTAAAGTGTTGTAGTGATGCAGGGGCCATATGGGGGCCCAGGGCTCAGATCCCAGGCTGACCCAAACTCTCTAGTTATGCTCGGCTGGCTGGGAGGCTGATGGGGGTTGCGACATGGTCTGTAGAGAGTATCTGTCTCTTCCTCACTCTCAGTCAGAAAGAAAGAAATGAAATAGACAACCACAGTTCAAGTACTGGACCTGGCAGCTTTCTTTCTTTGTCTCTCTCACTCTGTCCCTCTCTTGTCAAATTTAAATAAATAAATAAAATGAAATAAAATGGGATGAGGATGGGAATGGGACAATCCTACTGCAGTCCCAAGTGCTGGCTTCCTGGTAGCTGTGTCTGGGATTATCCTGATGTTTCAGAGAATACTGCGATACTGTGGAATATCTATTTGATTCCTCCTCCCCCACCCCCTTTCAGGCATGGCATGCAGCTCTTCAAATTCTTGGACACTCCAAAGTGATAAGTACCTTTCTGTATGCTAATGAGATGACTGTCAGCTGAGGTCTCTAGGTAGTTTACGAATAGGGGAATAGGGGCTGATCCCTGTAAGACCAAGGCAGCTTTAGAGGATGAGGACTTTCTGCCCCAGTCCCTTAACCTCAGGGGAGGAGAGAGAGGCTGAAGGCAGCAGTCAATGATTTAACCAACCATGGCTGTGTAATGAAGTACCTATAAATACCCCAAAATGACAAGGTTGAGAGAGGTTCCCCACAGCTGGACCTGGAGGTTCCTGGAGGGTGTTGCACCAGAGAGGGCATGGAAGCTCCGCACCCCTCTCTCAGCCTCGCCCTATGCATCCATTCACCTGCATCCTTTGTAACAACCTTGAGAATGAACTATCAGGTACACAGAAGCATTTCTCTGAGTTTTGCAAGCTGCTCAGCAAATTAACCAACTCCGAGATGAGGGGGCCTGGGGAGTCCCAATGTGTAGCCAATGTGTCAGGAGCACAGGATAAACCACCGAAGGCTTGTAACTGCATCTAAAGTGGAGGCAGCCTTGGACTGAGCCCTTGGCCTGGGGGACCTGATGCCTCCTTCAGGTGGGGGTGTCTGAACTGAGCCGAATCAGAGGGCGCCCAGCTCTGTCCACTGCAGAACTGGTTGCTTGCCGGTGGGAGGATGTCCCCACTTGCTTCTTGGTGACCAGAGGTCATAGAACTCTTCTGTGTAAATTGTTGAGGAAGAGTATAGGGGGGACTGAATTTGTCCCACTGTGTGCTTAGGAATAAATGGTTCCTCTCCGTGTTCTTAGAGATCAACTCTCTGACTAGGCTGTTCTTTCTGGAATGGTACTTTTGGGTATTGGGGAAAATTTGCAGGTTCGTTATTTGCTTGTACTCATTCACATATCACAGTCCATCCCCACACCTGTGGGCACATGTCACCATCTACTTGAAGAACTGCATCTCTGGCTCCACTTACATTTACAAGTGTAGTCTAAATACAATTACTGGTTGTAATGACATATTTCTTAAAGAAGTTTTTGCCTTAGGATAAATATGCTCCCCAAAGGGAGACAGAAACAGTAAGAGAGAAAGCCAGAGAGAGAGAGAGACAGTGAGATGAGAAATTGAGAAATCCCCCCTCTCCCCAGGAGAATGGCCATGCTACAATCCCTTCTTCTCCATTCACCTCCTGGAATCTTAGGCATGTGTGCACATGTGCCCGGCGTGAGTTTCAAGTCACCAGGTCCAGGACTCAAACTGTGGTTGGCCATGTGGGAGTCCAGTGATGGAACCACTATGCCATCTGCTGGCCCCTATAACGATACCTTTCTAACTCCCTTTAGGATCGGATACCACATCCCTATGTTTGCCGGCTTCGTCATCATGTTTCTCTCCACAGTCAGTAAGTAATTCACTTCCTCTTTTTTTCCTTCATGGATTATATTTGAATTTACATGCGAGCAGAGTGGAGGGCAGGGAGAAGTTCGCTCAGCAATTAGGCATCTGCACGTGCTGGAACGGTGACTTGAAGGCTTTGCGGTTGTTGGTATGGGCACTAGAATAGTGGTGGCCACTCTGTCGAGGTGGCCTTTGGCTATTCTGCTACAGGAGGGCAGGCACTTCATTTACCTCAGCTGGAAAGTTGTGACGACTGTGTGTGTGTGTGTGTGTGTGTGTGTGTGTGTGATCTCTGGAACAAATTCAATACAAACATCTTATCTTTGAAAAGAGACCATATTATTTGGATATGCAGAGGTGAAGGGTAGCTAACAAAACAATGAAAGTTGTCCAATAGCAACTGGAAAATTCCTGTAAGTCCACTGCTTTTAGACACAAAAGGTTATTGCTCTGGAAAGTAAATTTGCTTTAAAAAAAATGAACAAAAAATAAGAAAGAGACAAATAGTCTATTCAGGACTGGCTAGATGTTTCTAATAAAGTGGAGGTGGAATAAGAACATTGCATTAAAAAAAAAACAAGTCTGGAAATTGATTCTGAGAAGCAAGATAGGAAGCAATGGGGCCAGTGGTGGAGCAGAGGCAAGGCAACAGGTCCCTCACGGGAGAGTCCTGGGGTCACATCCAGGACAGTGCTGAGGTGCTGGGTATGTGCACGTGTGTTCGTGATCAGGGCCGGCTGAGGCTGGGGTGGACTGTGGCGTGAAGACCTTGTGGGGGTACTCGTCTCTCTGTCTCTGTCTGTCATGGAAGAAGTAAATGAATAAACTGAGAGGGAAAAAGGGGAGCGAAATGGAGGGTGAGGCATTTGGGATTAGTGCTAGGAGGCAGCCTCCAGACCCTGGACGCTCCAGAGGCCCCTGAAATGAGACTTGAAATGCATCACGTGAAACTTGTGGAGCACATGTATCTGCCCAGCTGGTGAGAGTCACCACGACAGTGAACAAGCACGACTAAGAGTGGTTGATAGCTGCCTAGGAAACATGACGAAACCCTGCCCAGTGAGATGATGCGGCATGCTGGTGTCCCGAGCTCTTTAACAGAGGGTCCTTGCCTATGCCAATACTTGATATTTGCAGAACTTTAATCTACCAAACTATGTGCATTCAATAATATTACTTTCTTCCATAGAGAATCAGGGTTGCTATACTGAGTTCGCTTAATTCTAGCCAAAAAGAAAGGAAGAAAGTAGAAAGAAAAAGGAAGAAAGAAAAAGGAAGAGAAGGAAGGAGGGAAGGGTGGAAGGAGACATTTACATATACAGGGTGATTAGGGTATCCTATGTGGGGTCATTGGGGATTTTTTTTAAAAAGTACTAAGATGAGGTGACTGGTGCTCATTACGCCCCTCAGTGGGTTACTATGATTAATGTGACACGGAGCTAAGGGTGGCCCGAGTGAGAGATGCACAATGACAAGGACATCACTTTGGTCTTCCGAAACAGGGAACCTAACCTTCCCAAATAGGCAAGCCACCCTCGTTTGGCTGAGATGGGAGACTTCTTAGGAGGTGAGCCGTCCTGATTTAAAAACAATAAAAGCCCTGGGCAAACCAAGAGGCATTGGTTCCTCGCTACTCGGAGGATGTAGGAATAGTAGACTTTGACCAGACGTGTCCGAGACAGCGGTAGTCAGTGCTCATGCCGGGCGTGATGGAAGGAGACCGTAAGCACAACCACAGACTGCAGTGAAAGGGCAGAGGGATTAAAATTCTTAAGATCCAGACACCTGGGGAGGGACCTTTCCCTCTTCAGGAGACGTCATGCTGGAATTGAAGGTGAGGCATGTCTGGACCTACGCACCCTATAATTTAGTGTGTGATAACGTCTTCCTGATAGACTGAACCTCTTCAAGAGCGTGTCTTATTTCACATCTGCTACAAGGACTCACAGAGCGTTGAGGTCAGTGTTGTCACTAAATACCGATTTGGTTAAGAGATCTTACGGTATAAAGGGAAGGAAAAGATCCGATCGACTCATAGGCACCATCCTCTCTCAGTGCCCGTGGTCCCTGGCATGCCCACAGCCAATTGTTACTGGACTCAGATGACTCAGTGGGGCCCTGCAATGGCAAAGGGCAATCTGGTGTCATGTATGGAGGGTCCAGGAGCAGGGTCTAAGGACCGGTTCCCAGCCTTCATGGACATCCCTGGGAGATGCTGCCTTCCAGCCAGTGCGTGGTAACTTGGTTTATGCTTCTGCGGTGTCTCAGTCTTCTTGACAATTAAAAAGCAGTTCTGATTAGCAGCTGGGAGATTAGGTAGACAACATCCAAGCCAGAGAACAGCCATCAGCTTTCTTAAAACACATGTGTATGGGGACCAGCAAATGGAGTAATGGCTACATTGCTGGAATCCCATATAGTCAGCCATGGTTTGAGTTTAGGACCTGGTGGCTTAAGACTCACACTGGGTACTTGTGCATGCATGCCCAAACTCTTGACAGGAGAATGGGGAAGGGATTGTGGCATGGCCACCTCTCCTGGGGAGGGCGGGGGTGTTCTCATTTTCTCTCTCTCTGTCACTCTGGCACATGTACACACCCTACAGCAAAAATCCCTCTCTGAAAAAACACCAGACATCCGTGTGTGTGCAGCATGGTGGCGTGCCCTCCGGTGGCTGGGCTAAGGGTCAGAGGCAGTTTGCTAACTGGGCCTTCTTGGTCGTCTCGTTGCCCAGTGTTCGCTTTCTCTGGCACCTACACCCTGCTCTTCGTGGCCCGGACCCTGCAAGGCATAGGCTCTTCATTTTCATCTGTCGCAGGTAACACTGACGTCTGCTCCTCCGACCACACACACACCTCTTTCCGTCACACAGACCCTAGAGGGTTTATATGAAGAAAATGAGGAAAATGTCCTCCTGCTAGGTGAAACTGCAACTCAGAGACAGGAATTGTGGAGCCGCTGGCAAGGCCACATCCCTAAGCCCGACGCAGCTTCCTGGGCTAACCCTTGGATGTGGCCAGCTCAGGTCGCGGTGAGCCCGAGGCAGGGCGGGCTTTCCGTGCCTACTTCTCATATTTCATGGGCATGGTGATGTCATGACCAGCAGACCCCAGGTGCAGTGTTCGCTCTAACCTACGAAGCAGAGGTCTGCCGTCTCCCCGCGCAGAGCTGCCCACACGCCCCCGGTGCCCAGCCGCACTTTCCTGCTCTCCCCTGGGCACCCCGAGAATAAAAGTCTCCGTGTGCACAGCTTTTCCTCTCTCTGACCTGCCCCAAATTGCCCCCTTCTGGGAAGCGTGCTAGGCAATGGTAAGACCCTGTGAAATGCGGTCTGATTGGCCAATGATATTCCGAGTTCCCTTCCCAGAAGCCCTAGCACTTCCACTAACGCTCTGAACAGGAGGAATGAGTAAGGCAGAGGGTGGGGAGGACTGTGGGGGCCAGTACTTGAAAAGTACTACAGCTTTGTAAGCCCCTCCCACTGATGCTGCAGCTAAGATGACCCCAGAGATATGACAGAGAAGGGACCACAGACCCTGCGGGAGACAGACAGACAGAGCCCTGCACGCTGAACCCCGTTCCTCTTCATGCAGGTCTTGGCATGCTGGCCAGCGTCTACACTGACGACTACGAGAGGGGGCGAGCCATGGGCATTGCCTTGGGGGGCCTGGCTTTAGGCGTGCTGGGTAAGTGGCTCCCAGCCGTGGTCTAGGTCTGGGAGGGGCCTGCAGACCCTCCATCTTGCCCTCTAGTAACACTGGTCTTCTATTTTTTTTCCTCCAACCACATTCTCGTTTCTGACCCCCCTGAGCTCTCAGACACGTGTCTTCCCCACTGGCGCCATGCACTTGGCGAAGTCCGGTGGCTGCCTGGCTTTGTGACTCACCCCACTCGGCTCATCCACCTGTGCATGGCTGTCCACTGTCGGCCTTGCAGCACTGTCTGCTTACCTGGGTAGGAAGGGAGCGCCCACTGGGAAGGGGACATGTCCTCTCCTAGAAAGTGCATTCTGGGCCACTAGGTGGCATGGTAGTGAAGGGGACTAGATCCCGCATGGCAGTTCAAGTCCCAGACCCGGTGGCTTGAAAAATACACAAGGTGTGTGTGTGTATGCCTGGAATCCTGAGAGAACACTGGGGGAGACTGGACTGCAGTGTGGCCATCCCCTGGGGGCCGCTGTTTCACTTTCCTTCTCTGTGGTTTGCGCACATGCCCTATAGCAAATTAAAAAAAATAAAAAGTGAGCTCCGAGGTGGCAGGGACCATGCTTTCTCTCTGAGTCCAGGAGCCCCTGGTGTCCTTCGCCCCCAGCAGGTCCTCCGTAAACGTGCCCTGAGTCAAGGCCAGGTCTCACTGGCTGGGCCTGGCGTCACCTCTGGGATCTGTGTTTGCTTTGCTTTCCCAGTGGGAGCTCCCTTCGGAAGTGTGATGTACGAGTTTGTGGGGAAGCCTGTCCCCTTCCTCATCCTGGCCTTCCTGGCCCTACTGGATGGAGGTGAGTAACCATCCGTGCTCCCACAGGCGACGGTGGGCTCAGGGTGGGGCTGTATGTCAGTCCTGACTGATGGTGGGTGGTGTGGATGGATCAAGGGCTGTCCCATCTTAGACCGGAAGGAGCAAACCCAGGGAGTCCCTCTTACATGCCCCGGGGAGTAGTCCTATGGTGTCATCGTGCCCTCAGCTGCCCAGGTGACAGACTGAGCTGCCTCCTGCTCCCTCTTTCTTCCTTAGCGCTCCAGCTCTGCATCCTACAGCCATCCAGAGTCGCTCCTGAGGTAAGCAGACGGCAAGCCCCATTGCCGAGAGAGCCCCAGCATGGCTGAGTGCCCACCCAGGCATGCCTGCCCGTCAGGAGAAAGGGGAAGGGGCATAGAGCCAGGGAAAGCGAGCAGTGTGCCTGGGGACCCAGTGGGGTAAGGCAGGGTGAGGGATGGCCAGGGGGTCTGGCTTAATGTCAGACAAAGGTGGAGGAGGGGCCTTGTGGGATACATTTACAGTTGACCTTTAGAGCTCAGGGGTGCTACCCTGTGTAGTCAGAAATTGATGTACAACTTTCAGTTCCTCCAAAACTTAGGTACGGATAGTCTATTGTTGACCAGAAGCCTTACTGATACATCATAGACAGTTAACGGGCATTTTGTGTGTTATTTGTTATTATATACAATATTCTGAAAATAAATCTACAGAAAATAAAATGCCATTAAGAAAATTATAAGAGAAAATACATACAGGGTATTTGTACTATTTCTATCTTCCAAAATATATATAGGAAAAGCGCATGCAGGTGGACCCACGCAGTTCAAACCCATGTTGTTCAGTGGTCATGTGTACACGCGTCTCTCTTCATGTGCGTGTGTGTGTGGTTGTGTATATCATCTCAGGGGTGGAGCAGACTGGAGGAGGCCATCTAGGTAACTTTTCCCCTAATAAAAGACTTCCTCCACAAGACCCTAACAGTCTGTCACTTTGTCCCAGTTGACCAGTATCAGAGTTGGTATCTGTCTGATTCCAAGCCAAAGATGGCTGAATCGCTCAGCCATGGGACCAGCCCAACACTGGCTTATTTAAAGAGCACAGACAGGGACCAGCAGTTGGCATCATGGCTACGTCGCTGGACTCCCATGTAGTGGACTTCAGTTCAAGTCCCAGACCTGGTGGCTTAAACTCATGCCGGTCCTCTGTGTGTGTGTGCCCAAGATCCCAAGAGGAGAATGGAAGAGAAGGGATTGTGGTGTGGCTATTCCCTCTGGCTTTCTGTCTCTCTGTCTCTCTCTGTCTTTCTGGCAAGCACACGTGCCCTATACCAAAAATCTCTCCAAAAAACCACGGTCAACAAAAAACCCCCCAAAAAAAAAAAAAAAAAGAAAAGAGAAAAGAAAAGGCACAGCACAGACAGCTCTTCTGCAGCTTGGCTTGTCTGATGTCTCCCTGGCAGTGTCGGGTCACGCAGCCCCACGCGATACCCATGCACTGACTTATCCGTTTATCAGTTAGGACTCATCCACTTTATTCAGTGGATTAGAGTTCATCACTGTCTTAATTTATTTAGCATTTTTAAAAAGAATTATTTTATTTATTTACTGTTATTATTTTTTATTTTGACCAGAGAGAGAGAGATGGGGAAGAAAGGGAAATAGAA